TTCAAGAAGAAAATAGAGCACCTTGAAAAATGTGAGTCCATGATCCTTTGTTTTTGAGAATCTCTTCATCCACAATTCATTTGTCCTCTGTTCACTATTTGCCATGATGCCGACTCGCCGAAGAAGTTATGAGATGACTTGTGCGTCGGTTGACCTCGTAAGCTGCTAAATGATCTAGGAAGTCCTCTACCTACGATCTGGGTTGTTTGTTGCTATAGAGGTCTGGAGAGTTGCATTGGTTTGAGTTAGGTTTGCTTGGAGACAAGCAAACGGTTAAGTGTGGGGGAGTTTGATAGACCGTTAATTACACATGTTTTTACCCCTGTTCTTACACCGTTTGAGATGTGATTTCTCGTGTTTTAGATCGATTTCACGCTAGGTTGTGCTTGTTTGTGATATTTCAGGTCCTGGCAAGTGAATGAAGGTTTAGGAGCGAGTTCGGGGTCGATTGGGCGAAGATCGGGCGCGAGACAAGTCACAAAGGAGGTCACACGGGCTACCCTGATGTGCACACGGCCGTGCGAGAGGCAAGTCTGGCCGTGTGACATTCTGCGAGAGCAGACACGGGCAGAGCAGCAGATTGACACGGCCGTGCAAGTGGCCGGGTTGGCCGTGCCACATTCGCCGAGAGCAGACACGGGCAGAAGGAAGTCACACACGGCCGTGCCACACTGGCCGTGTAAGAAGCCTGGAATTCGACTAAGTGATACGGTGCGTTTTGCCTCACACGGGCAACTGGGTAGGCCACACGGCCGTGCCACCCTGCCCGTGTGAGTCGGGATTTCCTGGTTTTAAGCCAAATTCCGAACCAAAGAAGGGGGAGAGCTGGGTTTTGGATCCCAAACACCCAAGGGACGAACCCTAGAGAGAGAGAGCGACTTGGGAACGTTCTTGGAGCTATTTTAGAGGATTTCTTCGCCATTGAAGCTCGGGAATCAAGCTTGGAGATGGAGATTGAAGATCTAGATCAGATTTCTGCAGTCTCTCTCTTCTCTATGGAGTAACTTCCTTTCACTTAGGTTTTGAGGAACCCTAGTTCCATGAGTTAGGATCTTTCTTGTATGAAGTTTTGGATGCTTTATTGTTTGATTATAATCGAATGATGCATGTTTATTGAGTCAATTGAAGTCTGATCAACTTTTCCTGATTCCTGCTGCAATCTGAGATAGATAGAATCTGATTAGGTTGCTAGAGTCTCATCATTCGGTAGTAGGAGATTGGCTATACGAGAGTTAGCCAGTTTACTGCTTTGTACTGGAATCCAATTCCAGTAGTGGAGTTCTGTGCTTATTGCTTCAGCTTTCTATCCCGGTGAAGACTAGTCGTCTGCCGGATAGTTCGACTGAGAGGGTTTGGTCAGCTTAAGAGATTCCAAGCTACTGTCGGATCTTCCGCAGTTTAATCAACAGTAAAACAACCAAAAGGAATTACAACTTGGACCTAATTGAGGAGCTAGGGGGAATCATACCTAAGTGAGTTCCCAAACTGTAATTAGTAGTTTTACTTAGTTGAGTTAGTAGAGTAGTTTAGTTAATCAACCCTTAATCTAGTTTGCTAGATAATGAACTGAAGCTGAGTAATAGTAACTCTAGAGACCCGTGGATTCGATATTTATTACTTGTGCCACTATACTGCAGTCCCTTTCATTGGTTACACTTGGCCATTGTTAGGTGTTGTGTTTTAGAGCATCAATGGTGCTAACACTAGCTCCAACCAATAGGAACATGTCGTTTGGATAACTTTTTCATTTAAATAAGTAGACCACAATTAATGAAGAGAAAGAAAAGGAGGGGCACGCTTGGTTTTATGACAAATTGGGGGGAGGAAGAGTCAAGTGTGTCTTGTGCAATTAAATAGGGAATTCTTCTTCTTCCTCCGCCTTCATCCCAAAACCCTCCGCCCAAATACATTTTATTCTTCCTCCGTCCAAATACTTCTTCTTCTTCCGCTTCCATCCCAAAACCCTCCGCCCAAATATCTTTTCTTCTTCCTCCGCCCAAATACCTCTTCTTCTAGGGGTGGCCAACGAAAAACGGGTATTTGGGTATACCCATACTCGTCCCATTTTTTGAGGGTTACGGGTACCCATAATATTTATTACGGGATGGAACTTGAGATTGGAAATTTTAACATTGGGTACCCGCGGGTTACCCGCTAATACCCGTTATACCCATACATAGCCATTAGTCCAAATCTGTCAAGTTAATGAAATATGCTTTTTTTAATGAAGATTATCCTGTTTTGACTTTTCTTCCCATTAAGTTAAATGGTCACTGTCTGTGGATTTATGATCAGAGGGAAGAGGAGATGATCCTCTTATATAATGATCATTGTTTAATGAAAGCAGTGTACATATTCTCATGGTGACTGGCGGCATCATTTCTTGATGCAGGTGGCCGCTGCAACAACATCTCTTCTTGTTGCAGGTGCCAGATAATTATTTATTTGCATGGTGCTCGTCTTTTAAATTTGTAATAATTTTGTTACTCTTCCACGGGAATATACGGGTAGTTTGAATTCTCGTTATTCGTCCCGTACGGGTAATGGGTACCCGTTTATCCGTACGATTTGAGATATGGGATAAATTATCTCCTTCAAATGAGAATGTATACACGTTCCCGTCCCGTTTTCCACCCACTATCTTCTTCTTCCCCCGCCATATACATCTTCTTCTTCCTCCGCCACCATCCCAAAACCCTCGAGCTAAGCAAATAAGGAAAGCTATCGGAAATCATAGGCGGAGGGAGGCCCAATTGGCCTTGTCCCGGGACAGGGGTAAATTTCGGAGGAATAAAAATATGTCATATATATGTATATTGGTGATGCAAACAACGCCTATAGGTAGTATCAGAGTATTTTTGTCACTACAACACAACTCATTACTTATTCATAAATTGACATAAAATTAATTTATTATACCATAAACGAATTCTAATTGCAATAAAGACCTAGTTTTGATTCTACGAATTACAATTGCAAATGTAAAAAGAGCATTTTTAAGCTTTGAGTTATATTAAAAACAAGTTTCCAAGTCGATTTGACGACCAATTTGCTAATGCTAATTTAGTGAGATGCATTGGAAAATACTTATTTAATAGTGTAGACGACGAATGTTTTTGCGTTTCTTTCACAATATGAAATCTCTCCGTGGTTGTTAACAATAATGATTGTATATTCGGTTATTTTTAATCTATGAAATTATGCAGATATAATTAATTTTAATTATTTTTTATTAAATATTTATGTATTTATATTATGAAAAGAGGACAGGGTTGGTTTGAAATGTTGGCTCCGCCACTGTCGGAAATCATATCTCTTCATTAACAGATTCAGAATTCTGCGATTTGAGGAGGTTTTGAGGAAGAAGACGAAGATTAGAGAGAAAGAGAGAGGCAAGGGGAGTGAAAGAGAGAGAGAGAGAGAGAGAGAGAGAGAGGTTGGGGATTTGGTTGGTCGGGTGAGATGTAAAAAACTTAGGAGATCTGGTGCCGGAGCCATGCCTTCCACCGCCGATGTCACCTCTCGCTGCTTGTGAAGACAGTCCGGTTACCGGCGCCGGAGATTAATGGAAAGGGGAGTGGATGAGATATGGGCGTGATTCTGAGATGAGCGGAGGAGGAGGGATGAAGGCGGCGCCGGAGATTGGCTCATGAGCGACAACGGATGTAGAAGCGGCAGCGAGGTGGAGGAGTCTGGAAGAAGGTCGAAGAAGATGAGTGGAAGAAAATATTTAGCCTCCATTTTGTTTTTTTTTAGTATGTAATGTTTAAAAATTATAAATAAAAATTAATATGACGTGGAAACTGATATAGTTGCTGACGTGACATTTTCCGTTACAAGGTTAATAACGGTAACAGATTATTAGCCATTCGTTTACGCGCAACATTAGTTATAATTAATAATTAGTATTTTCATAATTGTGACTATTATTATTCATCGCTACTTAATAGTTGTGTCTAATATATTGTATTTACCTTATTTTTAAATAATCTTCCATGGTTTCATCTGGATTGACCGCAAACAAAAGTTAAGAATTAAGAATAAACACAAAAGAGCTTTCCATTTCAAACTGTGGACATCATTGGCTCATTCACCCTAGTAGTTAATCCAAGTGCTAAGTGATTGTTTTGGATTCATACTTTTTCTTAATCAATGAAGGTTCTTGATATTTATATGGGAGACACAATATTAAAGAGCCCTTTGTAAGACGATTTTAGTATATGAATTGTAAATTATCAAAAGATCAACAGTTAGATGTTGCGAATGGAGCAGCCATGAGCAAGAGGAGCCAGGTCATAAACCTCTGCAATTGAACGGTATATCCCGATTTCATAGACATACCATCTATATGCACAGAGGGAATAAAAAAATTCTAATGTGTTACTGTCGGTTCATTTATATTTGTTGTTATTTAGATGTTTATCATGTTTATCTTCCTGTAACTATGTCAATCAGTCTTCCTGTACAGAGCATTAAACTGATCAAAGTCTATAGAAAATGAAGATAACCTCATTGAAGGAGGAAATGTAACCCAAAGGGAAAGAGAACCAAGGAAAGAACCATTCTCTTCTGTTCAACCACATAATCTATGTCTTGGCCTTCCATTTTGCCAAAGAATATATAGAGACAGTAACAGCATTCCATTCATTTGCATTTCCCACCAGAGGGAAAGACAGAAAATGACCACCCAGATAAACAAGCTAACCCCCCATCACAGCACAGACATTTTGAATCCTCCTTGCTTCCCCTAAGATTCTCTATACATGGCTGGCTTCTAGTGAGTAGTAAACACGTCCTTTTCTTACTGTAAAAGCGGTTCTCCCTGCGCGGGGGTGGCTGAGCTAAAAAATAGCAAGCAGTCATTTTAGGTGCAGAAGGAAATGAGATGTGTCCAATCATCTAGAGCTCTTTCCCTTCTAATAAAACAAGGAAGAAAGGGAATAAGCAAAGTTGCGTAACGGGTTTGTCTCTCTATGTTTTCGAGATCATCGGATGCTTTCCTAATCTGAATGTGTAGAAGCTGAAATGACGGCCACCTCCTTATCCTGCTGCTTTTTCAGGTATCTCTGTGCTGTTGAGCTCACGATCTTGAAGAAGAAGTTGAGGAGCATGAGCCATACTACGGTGTTCCAGATTGCAGCGAATGAGAGATCCCATTTTTTACCCTGTTGAACGTAATATACAAATGCGTGAATAAATCAAACACAGCCTTTGTTTAGTATTGGGATGATGTATGCCCTTTTTAAAGTGAAGTACCTTGGTACTGGGAAGAGCGGGAGTTGGTGAGAGGAACTTTTCTCTCATCTCATGGAGTTTGGTTATCATGTTGGGGAGGATGGATGCCAACCCAGGTACAAAACTCAGCATCCAAATCATCTCGTTCTCAATCCAGTTAAGGAGTTGATTGTTGCAGACACAGATTATGAATACCGTCTGCAGAAAAAAAGAACAAGTGTGAACTATAAGTACAGTATCATATATATCAAAGGACTCTGCGACACCACAGTGTTATGGTTCTGGAAGAGAAGCAGCAATAAATGCTTCTGTTACTTTTCTAAGAGTAGCAATTTGAAAAATCAAGTAAGAAGACTTCTGAAAATGATAACAAGGCAAACCTGTATGTGTGTCTTGATGATAGCCTTGCCAATCACTGTTGAAAGGAAGAACTTCCAGAATGGGATCCCAAATTGTCCACACATGATACCGGCAAGGTCAAATAGGGGGTTTGGCACCTGAAAATGATTTTTTCAAGAATGTCAAGCAAATGAGCAATCATAAACAATCAGAGGCCACAATTCTCGAGGAGTTGAAGCACTGTTTGCAATAAAAAAACTAACCGAAGCAAGCACTAAAATTGTGAAGAAGTTCAGATGTTGTGCATGTGACATAAGCCAGCGTTTGATTGTCTTCAGGTGTGTTGCTATGACTCCATCATCTTCAGCAGATGTAGCTTCTAATTCCTCCATTGCATCGAATTTGCTGCCCGATAAACGTGCTACATGCAGTAAGTAATTCACACTGTACGCGTCAGATGGGTCCAAAATGAGGGCAGTTAAACTCATGCGAAAAGTCTTATTCATAGGATGCCTATGCTAATTATACCATATGATTCAACCGAAATGAGTCAATTTGAGGTTTAGCCAAACTGGAGTAAATAGTAGAAGTGAAAAAAGTACTAATACGAATGAATGGTTGTGAAATCATTAGATGGTCCCATAAATTACTAAAATATGTGAGTTGTAGTTAAAAGATTAAAATGATGGCAGAAACTTTTGGAGTTTTACTGGAAATATAGAAAGGATAAAGCAAAGTGGGGTCACAAGATACTTCAATTAAGTGTTAGCCGTAGATGTTAGAAGTTGGACAGGTGTATCTCATTGAGAAGTTAGTTACTTGATCAACTGGAGGGACCAACTGGTTGAATCAAATGGAAGCTAACCACTAGACAGTACAGAGGTAGAGAGATGATCAGATAGGAGTTCATTACAGAGTAGTGCATACCAGCTCTTGAGATGAAGTAAGGAGGTAGCTCTCCAAGTGCAGTCCCAACACCCCACAAGACAGCTTCTATCTGGACATGTGGCAATATGCTGCTCAGTGGCACCCGCAATAAGTTGGATGACTGAAATACTGGTTCACCAAACTCATCACAATCTTTATCAAGCCATGAAGGACCTCTCTCTAGCTGTATGGTATCGTATATGGCGCTCTTTAAATCGACCCGGCCGCATTGCATTGCCTTAATTGTGAACAGGGCAATATGAGGACCAAGGTAAAGAACAAAAGTGTGCAAACCAGATCCTGAAACCGAAAAAAAGCAAGCAAAATATAAGAAATGAGGGGGTAACTTTGATATATCATTTGACAGGTAGTAAAACTCTCATCATTGATGAAGAACGATAGTGATAGAAAGTTCTAAACAGAGACAACACAAGTTGTTAGGACAAATAGTTACAGGACATTATGTTCATCGAGTCAAATTGCTCCTAATTTTTGTTAGGAGCTGCTTGTGAAAGTATCCAGGGAGCACTTAAAAATCCTGTGTCCATAAAGATATTGGAAATAACAGAAAAACATGAACCATTGAAACCCCAGCACAACAACATTGAATACTTGGCAATGTCAACTGCACATTGAATGGATGCTCAACCATAATTCAAACCACAAAAAAATAACTTGCGAAACTCATCATCTTACCTAGACCAATTGATGATGCAACACCAAGAGCTATCCACCACAATCCAAATTGAAAATAATGAGAGATTTCTTCTAAGTGCTGCATAAGCATGTGACAGCAGAAGATCAGTATTTCGCCTAATCTCAACCAAAGAATGTAAGCATGTGACTTTGTTTAGAAAGGTGTGTATGTGCATCTTATTCATGCTACTCTTTAGGCACTTCAGTCGGGAACATATAAACTATCAATAAGCAAGACAGAATAACAATAAAATGAAAGATCTGCTACATGAAGAAACCAAGTACCTTTTCATGAGGACCATCGACAGTAGCCACCAGAAAAACAAATGCCACCACCACAGCACTCAAAAGCAACAGCCAACCACCCTTTGCGAGGAGGTATAATACACAATTCTTAAAATACTGAACTACAGCCAAAATGAAAAACTTCAATGTTTTGAATGGTTGTGTTGTTAAAGTCAGATTGTCCAGCTCCTGCTGATGCTTCTCGCGAAGTTCTGCAATATCGGAGCAGTTGTTTTCATTCAATAATCACGCAGATCAGAAAGACAAAGCTTCCACACTTCAAATTATTAGTTCACCATAGGTCTCAAGAACAAGACACTAGTTGACATACACTCTTGTAAAGTGCTATACCAATTGCAAAGATGAGACACTGAGTCCAGCTCGAACACAGACTAATTTTCACCTAACCAAACACATCAATTCCTGTCAAGACTCAAGATAATACCAGACTGGCGAATTGTGTCCGGTCACTTCATACTAAAACACCAGATTTTAATTTTTTGGTAGACCTCTATATCTCAACTACCCAATACGCCATTGGGGCAGGGCCATACTTGCAACATCCCCAAAAGCAATCCGAAGTAAGAGCAGCTGAAGCGAGAAGCTTCAGCCTCCCAAAATAGGCCCTAGATCCCAACAGTAAAGTGCGAAATAGAGGATTATCAGTTATCCCTTCATCGAACAACAAATTCAATAACCACTTCGCTTTACACTAAACGCAAGCTCAACGATTACCAACGACCAATAAAACCGACTCGCGAAGCCCAAAATTTCCGAAACAAAAGAAACAAACTTCCTCTCCAGATAATTCCGGGGCGAAAGGGAAGTGAAGGGCTTGCTTACCTGCGATTGGAGAAGCCATAGTTTCGGAAGAAGAGGTGGATCCTTTGCCAAACCCCATTGTCACCGCATACTAAAATCCAACCGATGAACGAGAAAGCTCCGTCCTTCCTGCCTCTAATACATAAGTCTCCGGCAGAACATCGATGGGTCAGGATTGATTTTGCCTAATAGGTTCCGCGAAAGACGAAAAAAACAGGCGGCTATCGGGGATTTTTTGAAAGAATGGAATCAATCAACACCGGTCTGGCGGGAGGGTCTCTTGTTATTGAGATCTGAAACGTAAGGGGAACGGGAAACGTAAAGAAGAAGGTTTGCGTGGTGGAGATCTCTTCTCAGTGGCCGGAGGATTTCTTGCACTCTGCCTATCGACTATCTCAGGCGGAGAGTTCTCTTCTTCTATAATACTCCTTCCTTTTGGGAAATTCAGTTTGCTTTTTGTTTCGTTCTATTGTTCCTCTATATTGACAAAGGTTTTTTTTTTTTTTATTGAAATGATCGAAGGAATTTTTAAACACTTTTTTATGGAAAGCCCAAAAATGATAATAATTCGATTCAAGAAATAATAAGGATAATTGGGTCATACAACCTTTCCAAATTTTTTTTTATAACCCAAGAACCTCAACACCACATGCTACTTTGTGACAGCGTGATCTACTAATGTCATAGAGTGGGTACGTCCTCTAATATGTCAAACAACTCCTCTATGGAACAACTTTTTTTTATAGAAAAGTGTGAAACAACTCTCTTGTTACATTTTTGCATCAAAAAATCTTTCATGGACACACCAATCGAGCTATGATCTTTAAGAAAATTGTGATTTGAACATTCTAGTGTAATGCACGGTAATGAGTCGCATGTATAATCAAATGTGCATTATCGTGTTAGGACTATTGGGCTAAGGGGAATGTACTTGGTCAGAAGTTGTAAGCATCCATAAATAATGATGTTTTCAAAATTGAATGGGATGATAAGACCATCTCTGATAACAAGTGTAGTTCTAGTGTTAGATTTGACATTCCAGCTCCATCAAAAGGGGGGTTTTGCTCGATTGGTCAGTGCTACAATCTACGGTAAGAATCGCAAAACATACGATCAAACTTTCATTAGCGTGTTAGGATGCCCTAACCTTGACAAGCATAAGAATCGCAACCTGATTCGAGGCACAAGCTTATCAAACTATTTGATTCATGGAAATGTAATGGGTTAGAAGTTGGAAAAATCCCTTAAAAAGGATGTTTTCATAACTAGATTGGAAGATTAGACCATCCACAATAACAAGTGTCAAAGTTTAGTGTTAGATTTGTCATTCTACCCCCTATCAAAAGAGGTTTCGCTTCAATGGTGAGTACTAGAATGTCAAAGTGTCAAATTTTCACTTTTTATCATAATGTAATTTAATGTAGATGTCGTCAATTCAATTAGATATTTTGTTTATTAATTTGAATAAATAATTAAATATAATATAATAGTCAAATCTTTTCGAAAACAATTTAATAGGTAAATCGTTAAATTTTCGTCCAGTCAACTATTAGTTGACTCTGACGTGACAAACACTTTGTTGAGATGGTATATATGTAATGACGTGGCAAGACCGCCTCCCCAGCATTCAGATCACAACCCACCTCTTTCTCTCAACTCGCAATCGCCTCCTAAGAAATCTAAAAGCCTATGCATGACTTAGCTTTTATCCACCTAGTGGCTAGTTAGGTGTAACAATCCCTCGTTTCAAGCAACAAAATCTTGACCCGTTTGGCTTTGAGGGATCTTATTAGCTCCTCCAACTCGCTGGTGATGGAAGGTTGTTCTCCAACTGGCCGTTGTTGACGTCGACCCTCATTGAGATCTCGAGACCAGAGCGAGAGGAATACAAACGCATCTAAAAAAGGTGCATCTATAGAACTAATAATCTGCCATTGGATTTCAGAAATATTAGAAGCCTCCCTCAAAGCAGATCTTCAGTTCTCAGCTTTTCCAATCTCATCCATCGGCAGTGAGCAAACACAGCTCCATAGCTACCCCTTTGGTGCTTCGCCAACTTGAGAAGGATCTACGTCGTCGTATGAAAAATCTGTGATCAAGACCAAGGTTGATGGAAGAAGAAGAAATGAACCTAGCCACTGCAATCCTATTTGCAGGAGGATTAGAAGACTGAAAGAAGAAAGGAGAGAAACGACAGCGTGTAATGAGTCGCAAAAAGGAAGAAGAGACGACATTGTATTGTGGTCGTAGAGAAGAAGAAGAACAGCACGACGACGTTTTACTTAAGTTGTTGTTAGCCGTTATAAGTACTATTTGTTTAAATGTTTTAACCAACTGTGTAGCGCCAACTGTCATGTTTTGCTTAATCACTCTGCTTGCTATATAAGAGAAGTGAGGACTCAGAGTTTGCTGAGCTTTCTCTTCTAATCATTAGGTAAAATTCGTTACCGTAGAATCACCCTCGTTTTAAAATTGAGGAATCCGACGGAACAATGATGGTAAGAGTATTCACATTGACAATACCTATAGGGGTGGGAAACTTTCCTTTCCTTCTCCCACCCGCATAGCAAATATGCCTCCAGTCTTCAACTTCTGGAAGCCTAGCCCCGTATCTAAGGACGACGACTACGAGTTCAGTCGGTCAAAGACGGTGGAGCCTAGATCCGGCCAGACAAAGACCACACTACAAAACTGAACGAGGACGGCGGCTCTGATGCTCAGGAAGGCAGACTCCACCCCGCATGGCAGTACCGACAGCGGAATGACATTAGGCACAACAACAACATGTGTTCGTTTTGGCACATTTGACCAAACTCAGGTGCAATATGAGACAATCATTTTCGGTAATCCTTATTACCTTAACCCAAATAAGAACATGTCTCAATCCTTGGTTGCTGAGCTGTTTGATGGAACCAATTACGTAATGTAGAGTATATCTATGCAAGTTGTTCTGAAAGCGAAGAACAAGGTTGAGTTTATTGATGTGTAGATCCTAGTGCCTCCTAGAGATGCAAATCTATTTGGATTATAGGATGCTTGTAATAAAACGGTCCTTTGTTGGATTCAGAACTCCATGACCAAAGAACTTAGGAGATCTATACTGAATCAAACAAGTCTAAACACACTGTGGGAAGAGTTGAAGAGGCGCTTTGGTGAACCCAATGCCATGAGAATTTGAGTGAAGGATGAAATTCAAGCTTGCAAGCAGGGGTCTAAGTCCATTACACATTATTACATTACCATTAAAGGACTCTGGAATGAATATGTTGAGTGTAGTCCTATAACACCATGTAATTGTGCACCTGGAAACCCAATTCCTTGTGTCGCAGTTGCTGCTTTTGTGAAGAAGCAAGAGATGGATTATCTAATACGTTTCTTGAGAGTCCTCAATTCAGAGTATGAGGTCATTAAGACACAATTAATGATGCAAAAACCACTTCTTACAGTATTAGCAGCAGTTGATGACCTGCTACAACATGGACATAAATTGAAAGGTGACACAACCATGGGTAACAAAAAGGGTCAGAGTTTGGCTCTAGCAGTTGAGGGTAACAATACAAGGGATAATGCAAACTCAAGAGGGAAGAAATTATGTCGGTTTTGCAAAATAAACATTCATAACATTGAAGATTGTTGGAAGTTGAAAAGGAAGCAGGAGATGTAGAAAGATGGAGGCACTAAGGGAGGATCTAATTCTAACTCAAGTTCAAATTCCAGTACACCAAGGTTTGCTGGTTCTATTTCCTAGGGAAGTGGTAATGGCATTGCATCAGAGGGTAGTGTGATCAACGAAGGCAAAAGCTTCTGCACCATTAGGATTCACACCTGAAGAAATGAATCGTCTCCGATGTCTCTTGCAAACTGGTGCTAACACACTCATTTCTCCACCTACCTCTCCATCCCTCAACGATCAAGCCTATTCAGCCACTCAAGACACCTCTTCCTTCCCCAACTTCTCAGGTAAACCCATCATAACCTCTTCCCAAAACTCTGCAACTAGTAACTTGAACTTATGGATTGTAGACACAGGAGCATCTGATCATATAACATGTAGTCTTACCCTCTTTTATAGTTACCAACCACTCCAGGACTCGTTTGTTTATCTCCCAGATAGTACTAAAGTCACAGGTCCTACATGTAGGCATAGTACATCTGGCTTGTGGTTTGACACTACATAAAGTCCTTTTTGTGCCAAAATTTTCCTTCAATATGATTTCTGTCAGTAAACTCACACATGATTACCCCTTTTTCTTACACTTCCATTTTGATAAATGCAAAATCCTGGACTTCTTAAGCCAGAAGAAGATTGGTTTAGCCCACAACTAGAGGCCTTTACCATCTTGCCCTACCTTCCAGCTTCACCAAGCCCTTCGTTCCTGCTCATCAACACCAAGTTGCCTTCTCCTACAACTCCAAACCCCAAGATCTGAAACTGTGGCACTGAAGGCTAGAACACCCTAGTCATGATAAGCTTTCTTTACTTGGTTCTGTAATTCTTACTTTTTCCAAATCTAAGACATTGCACTGGGATGTATGCCACTTATCCATACAAAGAAAACTATCTTTCCCCGTTAGCACCAGTGTTGCACCTGAGATTTTTACTTTATTACATATGGATATTTGGGGTCCTTTGTCACCTGTTTCCTATGATGGTCATTCATATTTTCTTACAATTATGGATGATCATTCAAGAAGTGTCTGGGTGTATTTGATGAGGCACAAGAGTGAAGTAAGAGGGTTAATCCAAGGTTTCTGTAGCCTGGTGAGGAATCAGTTTAAGATAGTTAAGATTATCAGAACTGATCAAGAAAAAGAGTTTGAAATGTGAGTTTTTCAAAACAGAAGGCATTGAGAATCAAGTTTCATGTGTTGCAACTCCTGAACAGAATGACAGAGTTGAAAGTAAACATCAACACATCCTAAATGTGGCTAAATGTTTGAAGTTTCAGTCTGGTCTTCCCCTTGCCTTTTTTTATAATGGTGATAAATTATATTTCAAAGGGAAACAAAACATAACGTGAAAAGGTACGGGGAAAGGGATCAAAAGGATTGATCCCACAAGGAAACGTAAAGAAACAA